TCGCATTTAAATCCTCGGTTTACCCGTACTGCAGTTCAAGTTTGCTTCAGGCAGTCATGGACTGTTTGTGTTGGGTTCACTGAATCACGCATGCGCACTGTTAAGAGTTCTCAAATCTGATCTTGGTGTACTGTTCTAATAACTGAATAACTCTGTGTATATTGGTTTATTTCGAGTCAGGGGGGATCAAGCATGTTAATAAGTAGTTTGTGGGTAAGAGTGCTTACTGGAGACGCGAATTGTTTCATATGATCCAGTTTGATTTGTTGAATTAGTTCAACCAGTTCACTTAGAAGATCCGGTTGAAATAAAGGATTCGTTTGCGATCACTAATACAGAAATAAAACACATTATGTGTTCAATTAATAAGTTTTAAGTGTCTGCTCGGTCGTATTTAATGCGTCACCGTGCTGCAGTCATGTCCACTCATTGTTTTTGTCTTGGGAGCAAGAGCGAGGATGACTGGAGGAGGAGCGGCTTGATCTGGCCCATGGCATCAGGATTACAGACTCAGAGGTGCCATACGGCACAAACATCGGGCAGCTAGTTTAACATATCTCAATAGCGTGGCGGTAGTGTCGCAGTAGCTTTTCAGTAGCGAAGCTATTTTATTCGATAAGTAGCGCAGTAGAGTCCACACAAGCTACATTTACCGATCACGGATCAGTGACGACGACAATCACAGAGCTGTGAGGCTAGTGTCCAGCCGATGAAAGTAAATCCATATGATGGTAAGAATGACGATTCCTTCTTCCTGTTTTGCGGTAGTCGACGACAAAGTTTTTGGTGCATTACTTTTACCTCTAGCTCTGGTTGGTGACATCGCTAACACTAGAAATTTGAGTAATGGTAAGATGACTGAGGAAGAGAAGTTATTTCTGAAGTACGTCAAGATGCAAAAACGTCAATTCTGATGTTGTGCTCAAAAAAATACTTGTGAAGTTGAGCTATATTTTGAGTAGCTAATAGCTAAGCTCACTACATTTTTCAAGTAGCTTGCCCAACACTGCAAATACTACTGTGTGCGTGTGTGGTGTTCTGTCAAACTCAAGTCTCCGATGTTCTGCTTGAGCATATATCAGAAGTAGTTGCGTGTAGCACAGATTTATTTATTTTTTGCCATACATAATCATAGACCTCTTTGTGATGTTGCTGTGAAATAGTTTGTTGACATGTCTTTTGTGCTCACAAGTTAGTTCCAATGGAGGCTTGTGTGCATATCGGGAAGGACGCGCTTGCATATTCCAGGAGCGCCCAATTGAAAACATCTAAACTTCTCAGAATGTCGCACCATGAGTCACGTAACAAGAACTGACCGATTCAGCTTCATACTTTAATTGGAATACACACATTTCGGTAGACTACCTCAGACAAACACAGGACCTCCAAACACCCAGTGCTTTTAAATTATCTCCATAAATAAAACCTGTATCAGAGCTGCAGCAATGTTTTGTTAATTTGTCATTCTCTGAGAAACGTTTTAATAGCCGAGTAGCAACAACAAAGGAGTCTGTTCATGCAGGCTATTCGTCATTAAGCTCCGTCTCCTGTTCTCGTGTTCTGTTTAAAAGCACTGCGTTGTGATTGGTTCAAATAGCACTCCGCGGGAGAAGTATCAGTCGGGACTGTAGCGCACAGGAAAATAATGCTGTAGACGATTTAGAGATTGTGCATGTTCAAACCGTGATTCAGATTCAATCTCACTAACCGCACACACCTAACAAAAACAGGCCCTTTTCAAATGTGAACTCAGATTAAATCCAAACTAAATATGATCTGATTTATTTTACATTAATGTGCATCAAGTTTGTGTAGCCAATGTTTCCAGTGTCTTCAGCTTTTGATGACTTGCTTTTTTATTTCAGACCTAATTAAAGAGAATGAGGAGATGAAGGAGGAGGAACATCATGTCAGAATTGAGGAAAATCATTTACAGACTGATGATATTTTGAAAAGTGGAGACAAGAATCATTTCACCTGCACTCAGTGTGGGAGAAGTTTAGCAAGACAAAGCAATCTTAAGGTTCACATGATGATCCACACTGGAGAGAAACCACACACATGCACTCAGTGTGGGAAGAACTTCCGCCGATCATCAAACCTTAAACGACACATGATGAGCCACATTGGAGAGAAACTATTCACGTGCGCTCAGTGTGAGAAGAGTTTCAGCCAATCATCAAACCTCAAACTACACATGAGGATCCACACCGGAGAGAGACCGTTCATATGCACCCAATGTGGGAAGAGTTTCACCCACTTATCAAACCTTAATCAACACATGATGATCCACACTGGAGAGAGACCGTTCACTTGCACTCATTGTGGGAAGGGTTTCATACAGTCCTCAAACCTTAATCAACACATGATGATCCACACTGGAGAGAGACCGTTCATGTGCACTCAGTGTGGGAAGGGTTTCAGGCAATCATCGCACTTTAATCTACACATGAAGATCCACGGTGGTGTGAAAGAGTTCATGTGCTTGGAGTGCGAGGACACTTTTACTACAGCTGGAGAATTGAAACTGCACCAGAGCATTCACACTGGAGAGAAACCTGAGGCGTGATCAGTGTCTACACAGAGGTTCTGTCATTCAGCACAGCGTACAGGAACAAGTGGATATAAAGCTGCACACATGACGTAAATACAGCAAACACTCTCTCATGTAAGAGGATGCTTCATGTCTGAATAATGTTTGAAAAGGCTGAGTGACGGTATACTGTTTTCCAACACTCTGCACTGCAGTGGGTGGGGTTGTAAATGTGTTGCGCTGCTCACATGCACAGCTAAACACAATGATGGCGGCTGAGAGAAGAACAGTTTCATAAACATCCTGCAAACAGCACCTCTCCTCTTCACATGGTTTTCTATTAGCTGTGGACAGACACTGAGTGGTGCAGATGTGTGCAAACTCATAGAAAAGATGTGGCGTGACGAGGTGGGCTTCTGGATTTGGTGTGTGCCTCCATCCGAGTCTTTAAAATCGTATCAGGTGCGGATATATCTGTACAGCTCCGCTGCTCCACTCTCCAGTGTGTTCATGTGGCTCGTGTTGCTGTCTGACCCCCTGAATGAGAAGCAAATCAATGGAAAACCGCACATCAATGAAGGCAGAGCACCAGGAGACACCCACTGGTTGCATAATTGACAATGGTAGCTCAAAGGTGTTTAGGAGCCAAAACCAAGCTGTTTCCAACTGCTTAAATGAACTCAAGAAGAACGTTATTTCAGCCAGAGTTTGGTTTGCAGTATACCAACGCCTTAAGTTTGGAAATCCTATTAATTTGTCTTGTGTATTTGCTTCTTTTATTGATAAAGTTTCCTTACTTTCAAGTTCAAGACTCTTTCTAGTTTACTACATTTACTTTGAGTAGAAAACAAGCTTGATGAATATTTCTGATTTCAGCAGAGAGAGTTAAATCAACAATATTAAAACACTATTTGTAAAATCTGTTTCCATTAACTTGTTGGTAAAAAGATGTACATCCTAAACTCTCTCGCATGTTTAGATAGATCAGAGGTAATTGGTCAGTTGCTGCTGCCCTTTCTTATGTTGTTATTGTCTATTGGATAATTCAGACAGCATGTTATATGTGCACTCATTCATATATAAGCAACCAGCACTGTCTTGTTTAATTAATAACATCAAATGACCACCTTAAAATCAGCGAGAACCAAAGGTTAGAATTCTGTTGATGTACTTCCAACAGAAACCCACTTCCATAAGGAGACCAACTCCCAGTCTCTGGAGGAACCCCCAGAGCCCTGGAGTAATGTAGATAGGCTTATGCTGCAGGTCTGATGGTGTTCATTAAAACCTGAAATGGTTTACAAAACACTGTTTGGTGTCCAAACTCGCTCCTGGAGAGCCGGTGTCCTGCAGAGTTTAGTCCCAACCCAATCAGACACTCCTGGGCTAGCAAATCAAGCTCTTACTAGGCTTTCTAAACGCATCCTTGCAGGTGTGTTGAGGCAAGTTGAAGCTAAAATCTGCAGGACAGCAGCCCTCCAGGACCGAGTTTGGACAGCCCTGGTGTAAACCATGGGTGTCCACACTCAGTCCTGGAGGGCCGGTGTCCTGGAGAGTTTAGTTCCAACCCTGATTAAACACATCTGAACAAGCTAATCAAGCTCTTACTAGGTATACTAGAAACTCCCAGGCAGGTGTGTTGAGGCAAGTTGGAGCTAAAGTCAGCAGGACACCGGCCCTCCAGGACCGACTTTGAACACCCTTGGCTTAAATCTTGACACAAAGCAATGGCAGACAATTTGACAAACCATCCAGTTATTGAACGCAAACCCCACACTACTGCTAGTGAACAAAAGAAAAGGAGAACAATACAATAGTTTCAGGTGAGATTTCTTTATTATTATCATTGCATTTATATTTTTATCACAATTTATAATGAAAGATATTTGCCTTACAGACTCTGTGGAGGAACCTAAAACTGGCTTTAAAAGTCAGAATGCAGAGGTAAGAAGACAGTGATATATTACTGGTGGTGGACCAACAAATGAAGACAACACTCATGCAGTGGGTGACTTGTTGTCAGGAATAATACAGAACCAGCAACCTCTGGAAAGGTATACCAGATAATGAGCACGTGAACAAGCACAAATGGTATGTGAGAAAGAAATTGGTTACTTGGTACTTAATCCCCTGTCAGTCTTTATTCTTCTTAAGGAACATCCCAACTTGGCATGTTTGTATGCATCCTGTTACATCTGGGATAGTCAAAGTCCAGACTGATTGAGATGTTGTGGAAAAACCTCAAAAAGTTTATTAATGCTCAAACCTTCTAATATAGTTCAATTAAAACTGGTCCACAATTCCTCCGCAGAGATATGAAACACTAGCCTGATTACTTCCAGTTGCTGCTAATGGTGGCACAACCAGGTATTAGATTTAGAGGGCATTTACATGTTCACATGTGGCTATGGCAGGTTTGGATGTTTAGTCCTTAATAAATGAGATTATTTTAAAGCTGTTTTGTGTTTACTCTGGTTTTCTTAGTTTTTTGACTGTTTGCTGCCATCTAGTGTCTGAATAATGCAGAGGTAAGTGTAAAAAGGGTTTCTGGTTTGTAAATATTCATTTATCTATTTTTGTTAATAAATAAGAATGTTAAAATATATTTTATTTTTATGTAAAGCTTCTGTTTTGTAATTAACAAAATCATGAAATAAGTATTTAATCTTCTGACCACAACTGATTCTCTCTTTTGTCGAGAGACTGATTGACATATAAGCAGCCAATCGGCTTTCACAGAGCGCCTACAAGCAGCCAATCTGCTTTCGCTGATCAGCGTGCAGGCAAAAACCCCGCCCACTCGACTCAGTTGTGAGGCGGAGAGTGCAGAGCTTTGCTGTTTGCTGTTGAGTTGCTTTAACTCCACTTCTGTTTCGGGTGTTGTGCGTCTATTCAAAGTAAGTGTATTATATCTGACCTTTGTAGCGTTCGCAGATTTGCTGCAATTATCTTGCGGGTTGAACTGCTTTAACATATGTGCTCAATGCTAATATAGTCTCTTGTTTTTAGCTCGATGCTAGGCTGTAAACACTTCTGTAATGCGTTACTCACGGGTTATCTGGCCACCTTTCATTTGTGTCTCCATCTCATTCCTTCATTCTGTAAACACTGTGATATTCCCATCAGGCTCCAGTGAAGAGTTTATTGAAGGACAGCGAGAACATGAGTGATCCAGAACCCTGCAGAATTAAACATGAAGACACTGAACAACAAATAGGTTGGTGTTTATTCCTGATTCTTCATTAATCAGCCTGAAGAACAATCATGAGGAAAAGCTTTGAACAGTTGATCTGATTTACTGTACAGAAACAAATGATTTTCTATAAAGACAGAGAGAAATAAACATACTTTCTGTTCACAAGGTCAACAATAGGGACTGAAGCTCAGTTGTCTTTTATTCCCATGTTCTGATCAAATGCTCAGTAAAAGGAGGTTTGTTAAACATTTAACCCTCTGGGCTCTGAGGAGAAGTGTCAGCATTCCCTGACACCTCTGCTGGTTTCAGTTTCTTATAAATATATTAAAGACTAAATGCAGATGCAATATGCAAGCAACATGTATGTATGTGTTATTTCTGAGAAAAATATGGATATTCCTGCATTTTTAAATTTTAAAAGTCACAGGAACATTTAGACACCGTCATATTAATAGTAATAGCGATTCTGCTCTCTCGTGTCACATGAACATTATTTAACATACATAAACTAAACTTGCCAATTATATTTTATGAAACTACATTGCTATTGTTTAGCACACAATAAACATACAGGAGTTGGACAATGAAACTGAAACGCCTGATTTTAGACCGAAATAATTAGTATGGTGTAGGGCAGGGATCACTAAACTTGTTCCTGGAGGGCCGGTGTCCTGCAGAGTTTAGCTCCAACCCTAATCAAACAGACCTGAACAAGCTGATCAAGCTCTTACTAGGTATACTTGAAACACCCAGACAGGTGTGTTGAGGCAAGTTGGAGCTAAACCCTACAGGGACACCGGCCCTCCAGGAACAAGTTTGGTTACCCCTGGTGAATGGCTTAGGGTTGGGTCGATAGACAATGCTATCGCCAATAGACGTCACAATCCTTCGATCCGCTCCCATTACAGCAGCAACCCGCTTATGAAAAATACACACCCAGGCCCCGTTTACACCAATACAGCTTAGTTTTAAAATGGTTTAAAATTAATGAAGATTTAAAAAGAAAACGATCCACATCCACACTGGAGTTTTATCTAGCATCTCCGAACAGCTCCTCTGGTTAATCGATTGCGAATGTTTGGCTTGATTGGGCAGATACAAAAAAAAGAAAGTGTAAATGAATGATAATAACATTATTATTCATGCGTCACCACCAAATATACTTGGGCAGCTGTTAATATACCAAGTAAAGTGTATGTGTGGGAAGCACTCGTTATGAATCAATTAATTATTCATAAATGATCACTGCCGCCTATGACGATGATGCCATTGTCCATCACGATGTTTCACATTAGAAGCCGTACGATGCCAAAATGGCCTATGACTATGGCTATTTTAAAGACTATAATTAGATTGTTTCGCATTAATTACATGTTTTAATTACATTATTGAATAAAATTAATATTTATATATATTATTATATATTTATATATTTATTATTTATATATAGACTTTTTTTTTGACACAAGAACATTACCTTCTACCATTAACTCATCCTCAAATTAAAGCACAACAACCCTCAAGATAGCAGCTTAAAGTACAGTATCGGCTGCTTCTGAGGATAGATGCACAGTAGGGATGGGAAGTTTAGATCTTTAACGTGAACCAGAATTTTCCTGACAATCCTCCCAAGTTTGGACTTAACATATCAACAAAGTCGGCAATTTTAGTTGGTTAAACATCATCATGATCTGAAAAGTTTCTTGCAATTACGTTTTGCAACCCTATTGAAGCATGATTCACTTATTTAAACTTTATTACGACTTCCTGTTATGAAATAAACTCACGTTTGGCCAGATCCTCGCATTTAAATCCTCGGTTTACCCGTACTGCAGTTCAAGTTTGCTTCAGGCAGTCATGGACTGTTTGTGTTGGGTTCACTGAATCACGCATGCGCACTGTTAAGAGTTCTCAAATCTGATCTTGGTGTACTGTTCTAATAACTGAATAACTCTGTGTATATTGGTTTATTTCGAGTCAGGGGGGATCAAGCATGTTAATAAGTAGTTTGTGGGTAAGAGTGCTTACTGGAGACGCGAATTGTTTCATATGATCCAGTTTGATTTGTTGAATTAGTTCAACCAGTTCACTTAGAAGATCCGGTTGAAATAAAGGATTCGTTTGCGATCACTAATACAGAAATAAAACACATTATGTGTTCAATTAATAAGTTTTAAGTGTCTGCTCGGTCGTATTTAATGCGTCACCGTGCTGCAGTCATGTCCACTCGTTGTTTTTGTCTTGGGAGCAAGAGCGAGGATGACTGGAGGAGGAGCGGCTTGATCTGGCCAATGGCATCAGGATTACAAACTCAGAGGTGCCATACGGCACAAACATCGGGCAGCTAGTTTAACATATCTTAATAGCGTGGCGGTAGTGTCGCAGTAGCTTTTCAGTAGCGAAGCTATTTTATTCGATAGGTAGCGCAGTAGAGTCCACACAAGCTACATTTACCAATCATGGATCAGTGACGATGATATTCACAGAGCTGTGAGGCTAGTGTCCAGCCGATGAAAGTAAATCCATATGATGGTAAGAATGACGATTCCTTCTTCCTGTTTTGCGGTAGTCGACGACAAAGTTTTTGGTGCATTACTTTTACCTCTAGCTCTGGTTGGTGACATCGCTAACACTAGAAATTTGAGTAATGGTAAGATGACTGAGGAAGAGAAGTTATTTCTGAAGTACGTCAAGATGCAAATACTTGTGAAGTTAAGCTACATTTTGAGTAGCTAATAGCTAAGCTCACTACATTTTTCAAGTAGCTTGCCCAACACTGCAAATACTACTGTGTGCGTGTGTGGCGTTCTGTCAAACTCAAGTCTCCGATGTTCTGCTTGAGCAAATATCAGAAGTAGTTGCGTGTAGCACAGATTTATTTATTTTTTGCCATACATAATCATAGACCTCTTTGTGATGTTGCTGTGAAATAGTTTATTGACATGTCTTTTGTGCTCACAAGTTAGTTCCAATGGAGGCTTGTGTGCATATTGGGAAGGACGTGCTTGCATATTCCAGGAGCGCCCAATTGAAAACATCTAAACTTCTCAGAATGTCGCACCATGAGTCACGTAACAAGAACTGACCGATTCAGCTTCATACTTTAATTGGAATACACACATTTCTGTAGACTACCTCAGACAAACACAGGACCTCCAAACACCCAGTGCTTTTAAATTATCTCCATAAATAAAACCTGTATCAGAGCTGCAGCAATGTTTTGTTAATTTGTCATTCTCTGAGAAACGTTTTAATAGCCGAGTAGCAACAACAAAGGAGTCTGTTCATGCAGGCTATTCGTCATTAAGCTCCGTCTCCTGTTCTCGTGTTCTGTTTAAAAGCACTGCGTTGCGATTGGTTCAAATAGCACTCCGCGGGAGAAGTATCAGTCGGGACTGTAGCGCACAGGAAAATAATGCTGTAGACGATTTAGAGATTGTGCATGTTCAAACCATGATTCAGATTCAATCTCACTAACCGCACACACCTAACAAAAACAGGCCCTTTTCAAATGTGAACTCAGATTAAATCCAAACTAAATATGATCTGATTTATTTTACATTAATGTGCATCAAGTTTGTGTAGCCAATGTTTCCAGTGTCTTCAGCTTTTGATGACTTGCTTTTTTATTTCAGACCTAATTAAAGAGAATGAGGAGATGAAAGAGGAGGAACATCATGTCAGAATTGAGGAAAATCATTTACAGACTGATGATATTTTGAAAAGTGGAGACAAGAATCATTTCACCTGCACTCAGTGTGGGAAGAGTTTAGCAAGACAAAGCAATCTTAAGATTCACATGATGATCCACACTGGAGAGAAACCACACACATGCACTCAGTGTGGGAAGAACTTCCGCCGATCATCAAACCTTAAACGACACATGATGAGCCACATTGGAGAGAAACTATTCACGTGCGCTCAGTGTGAGAAGAGTTTCAGCCAATCATCAAACCTCAAACTACACATGAGGATCCACACCGGAGAGAAACTCTTCATATGCACTCAGTGTGGGAAGAGTTTCTACAAATTAGAACACTTTAATCAACACATGATGATCCACACTGGAGAGAAACCATACACATGCACTCAATGTGGGAAGAGTTTCAGCCAATCATCAAACCTTAATCAACACATGAAGATCCACACAGGTGCAAGAGAGTATATATGCTTTGATTGTGAGATGGCTTTTATTAATATTAAAACTCCATTATTATTAAATCAAAACTAAACATGATCCGATTTATTTTGCATTAATGTGCTTCCAAATTACAGATGAGTTTCTATGACTTACTAAAAATGTAACTTTTTTTATTTCAGACCTAATTGAAGAGTATGAGGAGATTAAAGAGGAGGAACATCACGTCAACATTGAGGAAAAGCATTTACAGACTGATGATATTTTGAAAAAGAGAGACAAGAATCGTTTAATATGCACTCAGTGTGGGAAGAGTTTCGGAAGAAAAAGCAGCCTTAAGATTCACATGAGGATCCACACTGGAGAGAAACCATTCACATGCACTGAGTGTGGGATGAGTTTTAGGCAATCATCAGACCTTAATCAACACATGATGATCCACACTGGAGAGAAACCATACACCTGCCCTCAGTGCGAGAGGAGTTTCAGCCGCTTATCAAACCTTAATGAACACATGAAGATCCACGCTGGAGAGAGACCATACACATGCACTCAATGTGGGAAGAGTTTCTGCCGGATATCACACTTTAATGAACACATGAGGACCCACACTGGAGAAAAACCATTCACATGCACTCAGTGTGGGATGAGTTTCAGCTGCTCATCAAACCTTATTAAACACATGAGGACCCACACTGGAGAGAAACCGTTCATATGCACTCCGTGTGGGATGAGTTTCAGCCAATCATCAAGCCTTAAACTACATATGATGATTCACACTGGAGAGAAGCCGTACAAGTGTTCACACTGTGAAAAGAAATTCAGAGACTTACAAGCCCTGAAAAGACATGAGAGGATTCACACTGGAGAGCAGTGGTGCCCAAACTTTTAAGTATGAAGGGCCAAAAACCAAATATTATTTAGAGTCGTGGGCCAAAGGTAAATATACCAAACTATATTACATTAGTTGCCATGGGTAATCTCGTAATTCATAATATTTAAAAATAAAAATAAACCATTACTTCAAATCAAACCAATGCAGTATTACCTTTTAAACCATAACTCCTTGCAATAAAACCAATCACATTTATAACACAGTGGAGTCAGGGCCGGAGCAAGCTGAACTGCCGCTCTAGGCAAAGGACGTTCTCGCCGCCCACAACCCTCTCTATTCTGCCAACCTCGACGCGGATATGACTGAGGGCGCACACTGAAACATTTTCATTCTCCACCAAACATTGCACATATGTCCTGGAAAATGCTAATTGAAATACAGAAATACATTGTCATACAACATATTGCTTTGCCAATTTGCATATTATATTTCAAAATGAATTGTGCCACTCGTATGCTTCCATCATCATTTTGTTGTCTAATAAATGTGCATTTGCAAGTGTGGCAGCTAATATGCTGGAAGAAATACAAGCAGATGAGAAATCCAGAAAGAGAATTTTGTCAAATTTATGTTTACTGTTGTTTTTTTTGCAGGGGTTTTTTGCCTTTGAAATGTATCAAACATAATAAAACTCAACCTGAAATCTTTTATAGGATCTGTAATCTGTTTAGTAAATTAATAAAATGTTGTGAACACTCCAGAAGGACGCACAGTAGCACTCGCTGCTCCCTTTAGAAAGGGTTGTTTAATCCTTCATTTTTGAAGCTGCACGTTAACAGAAACAGTGATGTTTTATAAGCTCCAAATCATTCAGACAGTTATTATTTAGATGAAATCAGGCTTACCTTTTCTGTTTGATTTATTGTGTGGCGTGCTGGCTTTCCTTGAGCGCCTACAGGCAGCCAATCGGCTTTCGCAGAGCGCCTACAACCAGCCAATCGGCTTTCTCTGATCAGCGTGCAGGCAAATACCCCGCCCACGACGCAGCTGAGGCGGAGAGTGCAGAGCTTTGCTGTTTGCTGTTGAATTGCTTTAACTCCACTTCTGTTTCGGGTGTTGTGCGTCTATTCAAAGTAAGTGTATTATATCTGACCTTTGTAGCGTTCGCAGATTTGCTGCAATTATCTTGCGGGTTGAACTGCTTTAACATATGTGCTCAATGCTAATATAGTCTCTTGTTTTTAGCTCGATGCTAGGCTGTAAACACTTCTGTAATGCGTTACTCACGGGTTATCTGCAGGGTTTCTGCAGGGTCTTCACATGTCTTACATCTCAAAATCCAAAATTTTGGCTTTAAAAAGTCTTAAATGTAGTGAAATATTGTGTTGTAGGTGTTAAATATTTAATTAAACGGGTCTTAATTTTCCTTTGTTCATGTATTGCTACCAAATCTGGCCAAAACCCAAACAATCACCAACAATCATCTCAATAAAACTTTACACTTTTTATTTAAAATGTCATTTTTAACTCTATTTATCATAATGGTTTAATTATTTTCCTTACAGAAACATCTGTGTAAAAGTTCTCCATGTATTTACTGCTGAAGACACCGACCTGGACAGATTGTTGTGCATATATTTAGTTTATTATTAGTTTTTAAACTTTTATAACATTTGTTCAGTTTTATTTTAAAGAAAGTTTATGTTCGGAAAAAAGTGTATGGACACAAGTAGAGCTTGCTTGTTTTTACACAATATTTAAATATTTAGCTTAGAAATAAAATCTAAAATATTGAAATTTTTTATTATTAATGTAATATTGTATTATTAAGTTATTATTTATTATTATATTATATATTTTTTAGAAAGGCAAAATAAAAATCTTTTCCATCTGGGCCATTTGAAAAATTCTTTAGTCTTTAGCCCTTTAAACTTTAATTCATAATTGTCTTTAAACATCTTAAATTTAACTTGGTGAAACCTGCAGAAACCCTGTATCTGGGCACCTTTCATTTGTGTCTCCATCTCATTCCTTCACTAAGTGCTCGTTTAACATTGATCTTTTAACTGCAAATATGCTTCTGTACACCTTTGAAGAGTCGCAAAGGCTTTTACAGTAAAACAGAATTTGGGATTAGTGTAATAGTGTAAAACTATAATAGTAGTGGAAGAGACACCTATGTGTAATTTGTGTGAGAATATTTTGATGGTGAAACATATTTTAATAGAGTGTATATTTGTAAATGATATTAGAGAATGTTTTTATTCAGGAAATATTTGAAGGCAAATGTTTAAAAATGTGTTTTCTGGAGGAATTGTACAATATTGATCATTGATCAGACTGAAAGAGCTTATAAGACTTTATCAGTGTTGCTGTTATTTGTGTGTTTTTAACCAACTAATGATGTTTCAGAAACAGTTATGATCATCAATTATATATTGAATATTTAATACAAGTGTTGTCATGAATATAGCCAGTGCTGCTGATATGCCATTAAAATATAAATATAACTGAACAGAATGTTAATTTGAATAATTATCTCCTCCTCCAGTGAAGCTCCTCCTCCACCAGTGAAGCTCCTCCTCCTCCAGTGAAGCTCCTCCTCCTCCAGTTCAGCTGTAAACACTGTGATATTCCCATCAGGCTCCAGTGAAGAGTTTATTGAAGGACAGCGAGAACATGAGTGATCCAGAACCCTGCAGAATTAAACATGAAGACACTGAACAACAAATAGGTTGGTGTTTATTCCTGATTCTTCATTAATCAGCCTGAAGAACAATCATGAGGAAAAGCTTTGAACAGTTGATCTGATTTATTGTACAGAAACAAATGATTTTCTATAAAGACAGAGAGAAATAAACACACTTTCTGTTCACAAGGTCAACTATAGGGACTGAAGCTCAGTTGTCTTTTATTCCCATGTTCTGATCAAATGCTCAGTAAAAGGAGGTTTGTTAAACATTTAACTCTCTGGGCTCTGAGGAGAAGTGTCAGCATTCCCTGACATCTCTGCTGAAAAGAAGGATTGACTGTGAAAGCTGGGGAGGAACCTTGCCAAACTGCCAAGAACAAGGCCTGACTGGCAGTTGCAAGTTGACCTGGGGAAGCAGTTACAGTTCCCACAGCACATAATTAACATCACTCCGACCAGACAAAATTATAATTTCTGAGTCAACAACATAGTTGATTATGCTTACAGTGCCTTGGGAAGAGCGGATGGAAGAGGTAATTGAAAGGAAACGCTCCAAGTACTAGAAGATGGTAAAATAGTGAGCTGGAAGACTCTCTGTGAGCCAATAGAGGTGGGATGTAAAGGGTTTAGTTTTATTCTCTCTTGCCTTTTTTGATGGGTGCCACAGTATTTAGTGTGTTAAGGAAGACAGCATCCATACTGCTGGTCACTACACCAAGGACATTTCCGAATGCGGGTGCATTTAGAAATAGAGAAAGATCAGGGTTTTTGTAAATTCGTCTTTAGTGGACGGGACCATAGTTCTACAAGTGCGATTACATCCGTGCAGATCTGCTGATTTCAGGTATACACGGCTTGTATAATAAGAGGTAGTGATCTGTTGCACTCTAGACATTGGTTTGTGTGCTACTATTCTCCCCACCGTAACTCTCCCAGGTGTGGGGAAGACAGTGAAGGTGGTCTCATCAGTTGAACTCGCAGCCGATGCATGTGTTTGTGGGCATTCATGAGTTCATGTGGGTGTTGCTGTGTGATTTGAGTTTGAATGCTGGAAGTCATTAGTATATAATGAGTAAGGGTGTCACGATCCTCCAAATCCTCGATTCCATTACATTTTAGATTCTAAAGGCAGGATTCGATTTTTGATTATGAATAATTAATGACCAATTAATTATTTGTAGCCTACCGTTTAAACCACCTGACCTGCATGGTCTTTGTTTTACCCATAAACAAATCATACAGTAAATGAATAAAGGCAAGATACACACATAATTACCACCTGTCAATCACTTTTCCTGCGGGACTCGTGAATAGGCAGTGATCTGTGTCGTTATAATGGCGTCGGTGAAAAAGACGCACAACCAACAGAAACCAGCCAACAGTATCTGAGGTGTTCGCTAAAATGACAAAGTACAAGTGAGTGAAAGATTGAAGCAGTCCTCTGACTGCCTGGACCTGCTGTCTCGAGCGCATGGCTGTGTGTGCGTCTGTGTCTGTGTGGTCACGTGATGTGCATTTTCAGAGGTAGAGAGGAAGGAGGGCTGCTCAGAAATGCTACACGCCACTGTGGATGTCAAATCGTTGTCGTTCTAAAATGCCATTTAAAAACAAAGACAGTGTAAACAGGGCCTGAGTGTGTACTTTTCGCCAGCGGATTTGCAGGTGGAGGATCGCGGTGCCGGTGTTGTCTATCGGACGAACCGTACGTAATACGTACATAGCAGAGCTTGCAAAACTATGTTTTTTGTCGACAACACGAACGTTGTCAACATAACTTACTGGAAATCCAAAATGCTTCCACACCGGCGACTTCATTGGAAGAGGAGAGGGTTTAAGCTCTGTCGACGGGTCTCCTGCTTCTGCAGTTTAACAAGCACTTCAACAAGCCTGTTTTTTCCCGCTTGGCAAGCCAAGCTAACGTGACATGGGGGCGTGGCAGCATCGACGACTCTATTTTTTGATTCGATAATCGAAATTGAGCATAAATTTCGATTAAAAAACGAAATCGTGACACCCCTAATAATGAGCTCAGACTGTCGAGTTCTGCACTGTTTATGTCATGTGGATTACTAAACCAGAGAACATTTGTTTTCAGTTGGCTCATTTAAAGGTGCACAAGTCAGGTCTCTCGTTTCTGTTAACTAAATATTCAATTCAATCATTTTTTAGCGCTTTTACACTGTATATTCTGTCAAAGCAGCTTTACATATAAGTTCTGGTAAATTGAAACCGTGTCAGTCCAGTTTTCAGTGTACATTCGTGGAGATTCAGCTCTTTATTCTGGTGCATTTGCCTGTCAGGCGCAGAATGATTAAGCATTTCCTATCAGTTTTTTATTTTATTTTACAAAAACATAATTTTGTTGCAATCATGAATGTATAAAAATAAAATTGAGCCCTTTACAAATGTGAACTCAGATTAAATCCAAACTAAACATGATCTGATTTATTTTACATTAATGTGCACCAACATTACAGTTTGTGTAGTCGGTGTTTCCAGTGTCTTTCATAGAAACTCATCAAAAGCTGAAGTGACTCACTAAAAACTGCACTTTTCTATTTTAGACCTGATTAAAGAGTATGAGGAGATTACAGAGGAGGAACATCATGTCAAAGTTGAGGACAAAACTCATTTACAGACTGATGGTATTTTCAAAAGGAGAGACAAGAGTTGTTTTTCCTGAGTTTGAGAGGAAAAAGCAGCCTTAAGATTCACATGAGGATCCCCACTGGAGAGAGACCATAGACATGATCAGTGATAGACAGGGATGCTCATGTTGACCGTTTAACCGTTAACCAAAAGGATGCAGTTTTAACCGATTAATGGTATCAGTTTAATATTGTATTTTTAATATTATCAGTATTTTCTTTGCATAGACTGAGCCGATCTAATCCTGTTTATATGAATTGAACTGCTCCCGATCAGGTTTGAGCTACCAGAGCTGTTGCTATGACAACAACTTTCAGATCAGCTTTAAAGAACGAAACGATCCTGGATCGTGTCAAATCGTCAATAT